GGAGAGGGGCAGAGGCGCCCCGCGGGCACCGGGTAATGGCCAGGTGCGCTGAACTTCAGCTGCCCCCATTACCCGCGTGTGGCCGAGAGCTGGCCAGCCTGGGGAGAAAGTTCACTTCTGTGCAGAGTGCAGCGGGCCCATGGATGGCCAGGCTGCATTTCTGTCTGCAGCAGTGCCCACATTTTGCTCACCCTGAGCGAACCTAACCCGCAGCCACTCTGTCCTGATGCTCACTTGTTCGTAGAGGAGTCCCACCAGGAGTGAGAAGAACTCGGGGCTCTGCTTTGCAGAGTGGTGGGCTGCGGTTGTTGAGGTTTAAAGGATCAAGTGGCCCCCTTGGTGCAATCTCTTGATTCGAATCCTCCAAGGATTTGAGTGTGAATTGAGGCAAGCTGAGATAGGTCGTGGGGTTCTCCAACTTGCTGCGTGCCAGTGCGCCAGGGACTTCTATATTAAGTGCTTACTAAGACAGTGTGGGCACTTTGGGGTGACCTGTGGGTTGGTCTTGGGGCTAAGGAATGAGATGGAAGATGGCATTGGCCCATGGAGAGAAACGATGGTCTGTCAAGACCTCTGTTTCCAACCCAGAGATGTCTGACATATATTCCCACAGAGACTTCCATACAGAAATGGGCCTGAGTGGGAGGTGGTCCTGGGTCCTGGGTCCTTCCATGACCTGAGCTGTTCTGAAAGGAGGCCAGAGTGCTCTCCCCATTTTCAAGATGAGGACAGTGAGGGGCCCAGAGATGTAGGAGGTGGTGAGCATGCGAGAGGAATGAGCTCCGCCATGCTCCTATTGTCCCTCTGCTGCAGCCTCCAGAACCATGAGAAAGAAAGGGACAAGCTGGTCTGTAGACCAGTGGTTTGTTCTCATTTGGAGACTTCTTGATTTTTTTCTGTGTTCCCATCAATCCCTATGAAACTTTAATACAGATATACTGTTTGTGTTCTATGTTCCTTAGTTATCACAAACCATTGTCCTAACCCAACCCAAGGGTGCTCTGTCACTGAGCTACATCCCTGACCCTTTTATATTTTGAGACTCAGTCTGGCTAAATTGCTAGGGTTGGCCTTAAACTTGCCATCCTCCTGCCTCAGCCTCCCAAGTAGCTGTGGTTGCAGGCGTGCGCCACTGCACCCAGCTAAGACTTATTTACATCCTTGTATTCCAGGATTTCTCAAACCTGCCTGTGCTGTCATCCTGGAAACTATAATTCTTGGTCATAGGGGCTGCTGTCCTGTGCATTGTAGGATGCTTTGCCACATCCCTGGCCCCTACTACAGGGCCAGACATTGCCAAAGACTTCCTGAGGGACATACGCACCCCCGCCCATTGTCGGGAACCACTGCTTCAGACAAATTCAGAGACCTCTGGCCAGTCCCACCTCCTGCGTGGAGATGACAGTGGTGATAAAATTAGTTAAATTGGCATTGCTTCTGATCMCTTGGCTTATATTTTCTATTTTAGCACTTATTGCTTTGTATTGTAATTATTTTCAGCGTGTTTGCCAAATCTGCCCCCATGGAGACCAGCCTAGAGAATGAGTTATTTCAGAGCTAAACTCATATCCTCAGTCCCAGGACAGGGCCTGGCAGAGTCCTCAAAAACACCTAAAAAGCAAATTAGTGCYGTGAAGGAAAAACAGACACAGAGCATAGGGCCCGAAGGCCTGGTTTTGGCAAGTTGGGAATGATGCATGTGTGACTCACCTTGAATGCTTTTCTCACATTTAAAGAGGGGATAAGTCATCCCCACGGTCCTGTCCGGCTCTGATGATGCTCCACAAGTCTGTGGTTTTACATCAGAGGTGCTGGTTAGAACGGTCCTGTTGAGGGAATGCAGACAGCTGTTGTAGAGACTCCGGTGGGGCGTCAGGAAGGACCTACCAGCCCCGAGGTCCTTATGAGAAGCTTAAGAGCCTCACCCACCCCATCTCAAAGCAGCAGGGTGTCAGCTCTCTCTGGGCCTCACAGAGGCGGTATGACTTAGTCAATATGACATTCATTTATTGTCACATCATTTCAACATAAGCATCATCCCAATTTCCCAGATGAAAACATCAAGACAGAGAAGCTTCAATGGGAGCCAGGCCTGTCACCATAAAGATCCACACAGGGTGCCCTGTGGCGTGTCTCAGCAGGGTGTGCTCTGGGCTGCTGGGAGATTCTGCATCAGCGGAGCAGGGTGTGGGGGTGTCTTCTGACCTGAATAAAATGCAAAGAACTAACCCAGTGCCAGGCCAGAAAGCGGTTCCTTCTCTCTCCTCTCTCCGCTCTGAGAACTGTCTGTCTAGGTAGCATTTGTTACCATGGGCAAGGCCTTGCTCTAACTCAGCAACCCTCTCAGCAACCGCCAATTCCCTGATTTACAGAGGGAATCGCGTGACCTGCCCRAGGTTACTTATAGCTGGTAAGTGTACGAGTCGGGACTTGAACCCAGGCCATATGGATTTGTTACCACAACATTCAGCTGCCAAACCAGACGATGAAAGTGAAAGGCCCCGTGAAGTCGTGGGGACACACCCCGCCGCCTGTAATCCTAGTAACTTGGGAGCCTGAGGCAGAAAGGAAGGAAAGAGGGAAGGAGGGAGGGAGGGAGGAAACGCCTGTGAATGCAGAGGGAGGTCCCGCATGAGGGTGGCACTATGAGTGCATGTGTGTGTAGCGTGCAGGGGGATGAGAACAGGCAAAACCGAGTTTGAATCCCGGCTCTGTTATTGTAACCTTACCTAAGTCCCTCACCTTCCCAGAGCTTTCACAGCTGTAACCTGAAGACAGTCTCCCTGTAGGGTTGGTGTCTGTTCATGTACTCACAGTTTGTTTATTTATTTATTTATTTTTGAGCTATAACATACCAGGCACTGTACTARGTGCTGAGAACACAGTGAGCAAAGCAGACAACTTCCTGCCTGTGCAGAATGTGCATTATAGTTGGAGGAAGTGACAGATGGGTAGCCCAGCCCAAGCCTGGGGCCTGGTTACGGGTCGGCTCTCKGGTGCTCTGCTCTCATCATCCCAGGCCTCACTTCCTGCGGCCAGTGTTCACTTGCTGAGGGCTTTTATTGGCAGAGGTCTGCTCAGAACTGTCCATGCCCTGCTGGCCCATGGCCAGCCTGAGCTGCCTGCGAAGCAAATCCTCTCCCCCACCCCACATCCTTCACAAGCGGAGTTGGTGGATCAGTACCCCAACTCCCTCCCCTCTGGGGCACAGCCATAACCATGGCTCAGAGAGGCGCCCAGAAGCCTTGAACCCCAGCTGCCCGCCATGTTTGCTGGCTTCCTAGACAAACTTTATTAGCGGTGACCCTCCCCTGCTGGTGTTTCCTAGGATCCCCTTCCAAAGTGAACACCTGCATTTGAATCCTTGTCTCAGGGAACCACTTCAAGATGGGATGGTCCCCTGTCCCTTGCCACTTCCTGAGGGCTTCTCTACAGAGCAGGAGGCGCTAGGAGCAGATCCAGGGAGGAAGGGCAGCAGGGGAGGCTTGGACTTGGGAACCAGGGCTTCTCTAACCTCTGCTCATCCTTTGGTCCAGCTGGGGAACCAGGAGGGGAGGGAGTAGAGAGGGGTGGAAATGACCAGCCTGGACATCTACCAGATAGCAGGGGCTAGGCTCAGCTCACAAAGGTTATGTCCCCGGCTAGTGCCCCACAGGTCAGAACTCAGACGGAGGCAGTTGACTCCGGAGCAGGGTTTCTTAGGGACAGCACTATTAACTTCTTCCAGGCTGGAGAATTCTTGGCGTGGGCTGTCCTGGGAGTTGTAGCATCTATGGTCGTGTCCCTGGCCTCTGCCCACAGGTGCTAGTAGAACCCCTCTCCGGTTGTGACATCCACACACGTCTTATGACGTTGCTGGCTGTGCCCAGACGAGAACCACTGCTTTGCCACTGCCTGCCTGTGGTGAGGGTCTCCGGAACAGCCAGAAARGCTGCTGTCCCCGAGTTCCTAAGCCCTGAGACCACCTTCTTCAGCCCTAGACACTGCAGAAGGTYGAACCACTGAGCAAAGTCCCAGGGACAGGTCGGGCTTTGGTGGAATTGTGGGTGAGAGCAGCCAGGAGGGCCACACTGGGGGATGGCCTCCAGAATTGGTCAGCAGAGGGTCCAGCTGTTCCATCACTCTCCCTCCCCACCCGACTGCTCCGTCCATGCTGGCTAGACCAGTACTTTGACTCAGCGAGGGCCTTCAGGCCCAGGCACGAGGRCCCGTGGCTGCTCTGAGACAGGTGTTCTATATAGGAGCCTTGCAGCCAGGTGACTGGAGTCCCCAAAGGGGAGGTCAGCAGGGGAAAGAGAAGGTCAGAATCTATTTTTTCCAGCYTTTCGAGAGAAGAGTCAGTGAGAGCAAGGAGCTGGACTGACAAGGCCCCTGGGTGGGCAGGGGTGTGCTCAGCCTCCCACCTGCAGTGTCACAGAGTGCATGGCCTGGCCTACGGAAGCCATGCGAGCATCCTGGAGTAGGACCAGGGGCAGGAGGAGAGAGGTCACTGTGGTTGGAGATGCGGAGGAATGCAGCCGTCCTGTGGCCAGCTCTGGCAGGAGCCAGTGGCCAGGGAGCCCATCCCTGGAGGCCTTCCTGCTCTGACTTCTGAGAGCCTGAGGCAGGAATGGGGTGGCGAGGATTTGAAGGGGAGTGGTCTGCAGACAGCAGTTTGGACCCCCTAGCTTAGCTCTTTACTATTCATTTTCACCTGCAAAACAAGGAGGTGGGACCATGCTGATGCTCCTTTCCCGCCTCAAGTTGGCATCAGTTGTCAAAGTGTTTTGTGGATACAATCCGMGGTCCGACCTGCTGCACCTCATTTGTCTGCTGGGACCATTAAAGCAGGCAGTGGTTAGATCCACTTTCCATATGTGCACTCCAGACGGAGTTAAGTCCCAGGGTGAGCGGGTGGTGTGGTCAGAGCCTGGAGCTCCCGAATCCCCCTGACTGGCATGTCCTGGGTCCATGTGGGGTGCACCCTGACCTCAGTCACTCCACCTTCCGTCTCTCCCTAGGCCTCTGCTTCCCCAGATCTCAACTCTCCTGGAGAAGAGGAGATACCACTGCTCCCTGGAACCCACCTGCAGGCAGGGCCATGCCAGCACAGGTGCCAGACTCTCCCAGAGCCAACAGCCTGGACCCCAGGCAAGGCCACCTCTCCCAAGACCCTGGAGGACAGTCCCTTGCTATTGGAGCTGCAGAAACTGCCAGGAATGGCCAACACAGACCTGGGCACCCGGAACCCCAACATCCAGGTGAGAGCCCCAGAAGGGCCATTGGCCAGTGGACACCTGGAGAGGAGCTGGGCTGGCGGCTCGCCCCACCCTGCAGTGCATAGGGGAGGGGGTTCCTGTGTGGAGACAGAGGCGCATGCCCAAGCCCTCCCCTTGGGGTGTGGGGAGAGTGCCTGCCCCTTTCTGTGGACTTTGGGCAAGTCTTTTGGCTCTCAGACTCTTGTCCCCTGTGCCATAGCAAGGGACAGATAGCACTGTCCTGGTAATGTCTGAATGAGTGGGAAATGCTTTGTCCACTGCAGGAGGTTCTGGGGATGTGGGGGAGGCTTCTTGGAAAGGGCGTGGAGGTCTGCTCCCCAGCCAGTCCCAGCCTCTTCCTCCAGGGCCTTCCTGGAGGCCCCTGCAGTACAGAGTTGGGTGACTGGCATCATCGGGACTGCCACCAGAGGGTGTTCTAGGAGAGGAAACGGGCGAGGCTGGCAGAATTCCGGCTACGTATTCCACTGTCTCAGCCTGTCCTGAATCTTTGAGGATCATAATTCTGCATGTTTTTAATATCAGCCACAATCTGCAAAACACGTTCACCAAAAGAGTTTAGGGGACAGACCACTAAAGTGTAGAAACATCGCATTCTAAAATCGTTTTAAAGTGCTTATATATTTATTTATTTATTTTTTGGTAGTGGAGATGGGGATTGAACTCAGGGGTGCTCAACCACTGAGCCACATCCCCAGCCCTTTTTTATATTTTATTTAGAGACAGGGTCTCGCTGAGTTGCTGAAGCTGGCTTTGAACTCGCGATCCTCCTGCCTCAGCCTCCCGAACCCCTGGGATGATAGGCATGGGCCACCGGGACGGGCTCATTTTCTTCTTATACTGTGCTGTTTTTTCCCCACAGGTTTTGTTCAGTGACCTCCTTTTACTTTGCAGTAGCCCCAACTAATGTTTTCAAGTTCAGTTTCGCATGAGTGAGTTTTACTTCTCTCCCACGCACAGTGTGGTGAGAGCTCCTCCTGAGGGCAGCCCTCGGGGATCTGAAGCCAGCGCTCTCACTTTCTGACCCTGCCCTGAGGACTTGGAAGCCCCCGTGCTGTTCTCGGTCCCTGAGGCCAGGCAGCCTGCTTGAGCAGAGCCAGAATTCAGAGCCAGCTTCTCTTAAACTCGTTGGTCTCAGCCCTGGCACTTGCTAGAACTGCCGTGCCTGTCCTCACCCCAGAGCAGTTACATCCATATGTGGGCTCTGGGAGTCCGGAAGCTCCAGGTGGTTCTGACGCACAGCATGTCTGCACAGAGTGTCCTGGGCTCTTCCCCATGTTCCCGAGAGGCCATGGTCAGAGGGAGAAGAGAGCTGGTTTGGAGGCAAGGTTGGGCTTCTGGCCTCTGGGGCTGGCCCTGTCACCTCCCCTTTCCTTGGAGTCYGCTCTGAGCCCTTTCTCTCGGTGCTTTGTCTGCCTGCAGGTGACCATCGAGGTGGTAAAGGACCCCCAGGCTGAGGTGGAGATGGACTTGCTGGCCAAGCCCAGTCATCGCTGGCCCCAGGATGCCCCCAGCCAGATGCCCACCAAAGAGCTCTTCTGGCCCCTCTTCTGGAGCTACCTGGAAGATGAGGAAGGGGACACTGGCTTCAGGGACAGAGCCCCAGGGGAAGAGAAGGAGGTGGGAGAGGAAGAGGAGGATTACCTTTCCGAGTACRGTGAGGGCGGGGACCAGGAGGATGCCGACGAGGATGAGGTGCCTTGGTCTGGTGGGGCCACAGATGGCTGGTCCTTCAGGGAGCTCGACAGCTATGGTGAGCACTGCCGGCTTGGCATCTCTAGGCTGCCGCCTCTCGAGGTCGGGGTGGGGGTCGGGGACAGGGCCTGGGTCCTCCAGGCAGGAGGAGCTGGGAGGCCAGCAGCTTAGGCCCTGTACAAACACCATCATCTTCTCAAAAGTGCTGTTCCCCACAGCCTGGGAAGTGGTTGTGGTTTTCCCAACATTCACCCCTCTCAACRGCCCGAGGAGAAAGACATTTGTTAATGTGTGTACTCGGATCCATTGGTTTCCAACCAAGTGAGAAATATAAACCTCACCACTCACCGTCAACTTTATTTCCAGTGTGGGTTTGAATCCTGGCTCTGCTGAATGACCCACCTTGGGCAAGTTACTTAGGCTCACTGTGCCTGAGTTCCCTCCCCTGTGAAATCGAGAGCCATGTAGGCTTTACTACGTCGGGATGGTTGGAAAGAGTGTTAAACGAGCTAATGTACATAAAGCACCAGCATATAGTGAACCATGCCCTGGCTCTTTTTATTACAAAAAGACAAGAGATTCCTAACACTTTTAACCTCCCATGATAAATATTTTTTGGTACTGGGGCATTACTGAGGATTGAACTCAGGGGGACTTGACCACGRAGCCACATCCCCAGCCCTATTTTGTAGTATATTTAGAGTCAGGGTCTCACTGAGTTGCTTAGCACCTCTCTTTTGCTGAGGCTGACTTTGAACTCTCAATCCTCYTGTCTCAAGCCTCCTGAGCAGCTGGGATGACAGGCATGTGCTCAGCCCATGATAACAATTTTTATTTTTGAATATTGTGGTTCTGGTTTCCACTGGGGGGCAGATGTGTTTTATGCACAGTCTCAGCAGTTTCCCCTAGARCCCCGGGAGGCCTTGTCATTGGACCAAGGTGCCAGTGACTGGAACTAAGTCATGACAGGCTCTTCGCAATTTTTCAAAATATTGTAAGGTCACAGAGTTTTCATGGCTTTTGCTTTTATGACATTCATTTTCCTCAGACTCTTGGTGCCAGGCTGTTCAGGCTGCCCAGGAAGCCATTAGAGAACCTAGTCCTTTTAGGTCCTAGAGACAGCCCCAGTTCTCAGGCCCAGCCAGTGTGACTGAGCTCCTTCAGACCCCGTGTGGGTCCGAACATGCAGCAGGGATATTCTTTAATAACCACAGTGCCAAGGAAGTATTATAACCCTTGGATTTGATTGACATAAAAACTAGTTCAGCTGGATATGGTGGCACACTCCTGTAATCCTAGTGACTTGTGAGGCTGAGACAGGAGGATTGCAAGTTCCAGGCCAGACTCAGCAACTTAGCRAGACCCTGTCTCAAAAATAAAATACAAATAGGGCTGAGGATGTGGCTCAGTGGTTAGGTGCCCCTGGATTCAATCCCTGKWACCAAAAAACAAACAAACAAAAAACCCTTCTAGCTCAGAGGTGTAGAACTTTCCTGAGGTCATGCACATAGTGGTCAGGTGGCTTCCAGCCCCAGGGAGATTTTCTTATTCATTTCTGTGTTGGCACAGAGGGAATGGCAGGGGTTTGTACCGTCCCCCTAGGGCCACCTGATAGATCTTTACAGGTTGTTCACTGTACAAGGGTTCCCAGCGAAGGGAGTGGGCAAGCCCACRCTCCATCCACTAGGCCGGGTGCTCTGGCACAGGCTTATCCAGCTGAGGAAGGCCAGCCCACTGCTGATTTGCACCAGGGCCCTCTGCAGGCTGTGTGCACTCACCCTCTCCCTGCCTTGACCCAGACTACGAGCTTCAGGAGGAGTGGAGCCCCTGGTCTCCCTGCACTGGGAACTGCAGCCGCGGCAGCCAGCAGAGGACTCGGGCCTGTGGCTATGCCTGCACTGCCACCCAGACCCGTACCTGTGATTTGCCCCCCTGCCCTGGTGAGACTGGCCCTAGCCCCTGCATAGGAGTGGCTGGTATGGCTTAGACTATGGGTCTTGTCACCTGGGAATGTGGGGGGTTTTGGGGGTGGTCTTGGGAATGCAGGAAGCTCACAAATATGGTGGTCCTGTCCCAGGCCTGTCCCAGCTTCTGTGAGCACCGAGAGCCTGGTGAGGGCTGGGCTTCCCCATCGGGAGCACAGAGGTGCCCGGGGGCGCCACCAGCCTGGCCTCCTCTTTTCCCAAAGGCGCTGAGAACAAGGACAACTTGGGCTTTCCCAGCGAGGGGCGGCAGCCCCTGGCCCACAATGCTACGGACTTGCTTGGCCCAGGTCAGTGGTGTGCTAGGCCTTGCCCCTGGGGGATGGTGCAGAACCTCTCTGGGGAGGGTGGTACATTACTGCAGGGCAGGAACCTGGCCTTCATCTACTGAGGCTATGAGTGCATCCTCCAGTGGATGGTTTGTGTCCCCAGGAAGGGGCCACAGCATTTATGAAGCAGGCCCATTGGCCTCCCCCACACTGATGTCCCTGCTGGTAAGAAGGTCTTAATGACAGCCAGAGAGCTTAGAGATCATGGCAGGTGGGGCGGGGCCTATGTCTTTCCTAGCAACAGGATGGCACAGGGATCCTCGGACTTCTTTCTGGTCTCTCTTTGGAGGTTCTGGGGCAGACTCCATCTGGGAAGGTGGGTCCATGTCCACAACATCAGGAACACTCTTTCTGGGAAGCTGGGGGCAGATGATGCTTCCTCGAGCACACTCCTTAGTCTCACCTGCACCCGCAAGGAAGACAGGCCACCATGCTGACGAGGCTGTGCTCAGCACCCTGAAGCTTGAATCCTGCATCTGGCACTGAGCTGCCACTAAGGAATCCTAAAGGTCTGGTTTCTGCCCTCAAAGAGCTCTGGTCTCATGGTTGGAAACACATCACCAGCATGAGCAGAACACAGTGCTGCAGAGCAGAGAGGAAGGGGCATCTCATTCTGTATGGCCCGAATCACAGGCCACACTTTCCCAGGGAGAGAACTGGGAGGAGGGCAGCGCAGACAGAAGGGACTTTAGGATGCCCAGAAGGGCAAAGTGACTCGCTAAGTCAGAGCCTGAGAAAGGCAGTGCATTCTGAGCGACTGCCTCTTAACTTCATGTTTCAAGTTGGTGTGGGGTAGCCTTGTCTGCCCCAGGTCTAGTTGGGGTCCTTCCACTTCTTCCCCTAAACTGTCCCTGCCTTTGGTGCCAGCTGGGGCCTGGACTTTTGATCAGCCCTCACTCCACCATCGGATGGTCAACCCTCTGACCAGCTGACCTCYTGCCCCTCTTTGCCCTCTGCAGATGTGGACAGCTGTGAGAAGTGGCTGAACTGCAAGAGCGAGTTCCTAGACAAGTACGTGAGCCAGGTGCTGCGGGACCTGCCCAGCTGCCCGTGTGCCTACCCGCTGGAGGCCGTGGATAGTGCCGTGAGCCTGCAGGACGAGCACCAGGGCCGCAGCTTCCGGTGGAGGGAYGCCAGTGGCCCACACGAGCGCCTGGACGTCTACCAGCCCACGGCGCGTTTCTGCCTGCGCTCGCTGCTGTCGGGGGGCAGCAGCACGCTGGCCGCCCAGCACTGCTGCTACGACGAGGGCAGCCGGCTGCTGACCCGTGGCAAGGGCGCCGGGGCCCCGGACCTTGTCAGCACGGACTTCTCACCTGAGCTGCACTTCAAGGTGGACAAGCTGCCCTGGATCCTGTGTAAGGGGGACTGGAGCCGTTACCATGCTGTGCGGCCCCCCAACAATGGCCGGGCCTGCGCGGACAACCCCCCTGAGGAGGAGTATCTGGCCCAGTTGCAGGAGGCCAAGGAGTACTGATGAGGGGCTGCCGGACAGATGCTGCAGGGGGCAGCTGGGGGCTGCTGAGCTGCAAAAAGTCCCTTTCAAGCCCCTCACCCCACCCCTTCCCAGACCGGGTGAGTGCTAGCGGTCATCCTGTAAGGCCAGTCTGGTGCYGCAGGCCTTCTGCTTGTGACTCCAAGGCAGGTCAGGGACCTAGGTGTCCCGGGGGTTTGAGGAGAAGGTTGAAGGGATCTAGGACCTAGGGGGCGGGGAAGGAGTCCAGGCTTCAGGGCACCTGGGTGTGTGATGGAAATGCGTGCATACCATGTGTCCTGGCCCTCGGTCCCACCTGCTTGCTGGGAGGAACTGTCCCAGCCTGGCTACTGGTTTTTCTCCCTCTCAGAACTTGAGATGGGTCCAGGAGGGTGCCATGTGCCTGGAGTGATTATGAATGAGCAATCTGGCAGGGAAAGAGCCCTGATTGGTAGCACTTGGGTAATTTCTGTGGTGTAAACACTCCCACCAATGGCCCCTTTGAAGTTCCTGGCGATATCACTGAATGCACTGAGTTCAGAGTTGGGAGGAGATGTGCCTAAGGTCTCAGCACACCTCATGCCTCTTCCCAGTCTCCCCTTCTTCCCCAGACCACACTTCCGTGAGTTCCAACTCTCCCTGTTCACAAGAGGTGGGAGACTTAAGCCTCCACCCCAGACAGCTGCCCTGAGGCTGGCTTTCTGGGATTCTCAGCAATAAAGCACTTTATTTTCAAATTCTGTCTAATGAAATGATCTGTGGACTGGGCTTAGAAAAGGGCTGTAAAGAAACTGTGCTTATAGCCCAAGCCAACCTCCCATGGGGGTGGTGTTTGTAATTCCCCAGCCACAGCCAGCTTCTTTACTGGACAGGCGCAGTGCCGAGGATGCAGAGCTAAACTGGAGACATTGTTATCTGGCTCACGCTTGCAAAGGGCTGCAAATGAGACTGACCAGGAGCTGGCTAGACCTCAGAGGCACATTCCCTCTCCACTTTGGTCACACAGGTAAACTGCATTTACGCCGTGGGGAAGTTGTCCTGCTTCTTCAAGTAATTAGCTGCGGTGGGAGGGGGATCCCACCAAAGTTACCCAAAGGAATACACTTGAAAATGAGAGGTGTTTGCTGCCTTAGTTGGTATATTTACCAGATATTCCACTGTTACCCCTGACATTTGGGGAAGTAGAGAGAGATGTCAGGAGGTACAGTCAAGGAAGGCACGTCCAGAACTACCACTTGGAGATGCTCAGGGAACCAGGTGTTTCCAGTGACCATCTTATTCCGAGTTAAGTTTATTAATCTGGTCTTGAACTACAACCTAAAAATACTCTGGTGCATCTAGAATATTAGAAGGTCAGAGAAGGCAGTATTTCCGGTCACCGCATGGGAGTCAAGTTCCATAAGACTAATGCAAGTATGTTTTACTTTTTTTTTTTTTTTTTTTTGATAGGGTCTTGCTGTGTGCCACTGTGCCTAGCTTGTTTTAATTTTCTTGGCAGAAAATTTTATTTTTTAAAGAACAAGGTGGAGTGCTGGGGATGTGGCTCAAGCGGTAGCACGCTCACCTGGCATGCGTGCAGCCCGGATTCGATCCTCAGCACCACATACAGACAAAGATGTTGTGTCCACCAAAAACTGAAAAAAAAAAAAAATTAAAATTCTCTCTTTCAAAAAAAAAAAAGAACAAGGTGGAGACATCCCAGAGTCTGTCAGGAACTGTGTAGACACCTCCTTTCTAATAGAATTTATCTTGGCACTTAAACACACTAGTTTTAATTAATACCTAGTAGTTGACTATTACTCAAATTGGATTTAGGTAGCCCCACTTAAAATCTACTATTCAAGTGACAACTGTTACTATGTTAGGCCATAAATGAGAGAAGATAAACAAAAGTGGGGTGGAACAAGGAGAGAAGCCTTGAGGGGCTGGGGCGTGGGTCAGCCATGCAATAGTTTATTCAAGCTATGCAAAGAAGAAAGAAACTCCRCGCAGGTGGCTGTAGGCTGAAGGAACACCTGTGTGGTAGGAGAAGCACCGATGAAGGGATCATTGAAACTGGTAAAGAGAGAATTTAGGAATAGTTTCTATCAGGGCCAGGAGAAGGCCCAGAAAYGAGAAAACCTCACCGACTTGACCAGCAGTTCTTCCAGTCCCCGACACTGGGGCTCATCCCTGGTCAAACATCCAGCATGAATACCATCTACTTAACTGCTGCCCCAGATGCCTAGATGGTTTGCCAAGTCTTTCCCCCTTGGGTTTGCCTCAAAAAGGACCCAGGCTAGGCAAGATTGATCAAACTGAATTCTTACTAGGGTCTAAAACAACCAACAGAGCCAGGTGTAGTGGCATACACCTGTAATCCTAGGTACGTGTGAAGTTGAGGCAGGAGGATTGCAAGTTCAAGGCCAGCCTGGGCAATTTAGTGAGACCCTGTCTCCAAAAGATCTGGGGATGTAGCTCAGTGGTAGAGTATCCCTGGCTTCAATCCCTACTACTCTAAACAACAATAAAACAACCAACAGTAAAAACCGTCAGAGCTGCTGACTTCCCTCTCCTAGAAGATAGGATATTTCAGGTCTTTTGCTCCACTATTCACAAAGGTCCCTGGTGGGCACCTTTGCTTACATCTAGATTTTCCTCACATGTTGAGGTACTTCAAAAGAATGCATCAGAAATCAGGATCTCCTGAGATACTAAAATGCAAGTTCATGGGGCTGGGGATGTGGCTCAAGCGGTAGCGCGCTCGCCTGGCATGCGTGTGGCCCGGGTTTGATCCTCAGCACCACATACAAACAAAGATATTGTGTCCGCCGAGAACTAAAAAAATAAATATTAAAAATTATCTCTCTTTAAAAAAAARTGCAAGTTCATGGGTCATACCCCTTATCTGCTAAAGAACTTCTAGGTGGCGTCTGCTTTTCTATATTCAATAGGTTCCCCCAGGTGGTTTTTAGTCTTGGAGGACTGTTGGCCTAGTATTTGCAATTTGGTCTAAATTAGCATTTTGAAATATCATTTCAGGTTTAAGCYAAATGCCACCAGTTATCAGTACTTCTACATTAATCATCCTGAAGCATTCATAAGGTGCTTATACCCATTTCACAGGCAAGATGATTTGCCCAATGGGTTAGGAAGTGAAACATTTGCTGTTCAAAACAAGTCCATGGTTTTATTATTAGTGGCATTCTTCTTTTTTTTATTTATTTTTTTKGGGGTATCAGGAATTGAACTCAGGGGCATTAGGCCACTGAGCCACATCCCCAGCCTTATTTTGTATTTTATTTAGAGACAGGACCTCACTTGCTGAGGCTGGCTTTGAACTCGCCGTGATCCTCCTGCCTCAGCCTCCCGAGCTGCTGGCATTAGTGTGACGCCCTGCCTTTTAGGCTCAATTGGCCAACTGGTGCACAAGGTAAGAATTAAAGTGGTAAGTGATAAGAATTGAAGAGCCTTCAGTACTAGGGGTGAGAATTGTTACTGAGTCTGTTGTGATCTCTCCCCATTTTCCTGTAAGTATTCTGGAACTGGTAATTTTCTAGCTAGGCTTTTAAAAGGGCTCCAGTTTTTTGTTAATGGTTTGTTAGGAGGAGCCCATTGATTTGACTCAAGCTGGAGCCCAAGTTTGTTTGATTTTTTTTTAATCAAATGGCCTCTCTTTGGGTGCCCTAGGAGGCAAATGTAATGTCGAATTACATGTGAATAAGTTCAGTCCAGCACTCATCTGAGTAATTTGAGCTGAGAATAGCTTTTGGGTGTCTAGATGATYCAGATCAGAACTCTGATTTTCTAATTTAATTACAAAGTTTTAGCCAAGTCACGTAGGATTAGCCTGCAGGTCTTGTTGCCACCTAATAAAAAAGGCAAAAATAGATGCCAGGACAGGCTTGTCTGGGAAAGTAGCTCCATGTTCAGGTAGTTAAAACTGTAGTGTGGCAGTCTGACCCACAGTCGAATGTGTTCCCAGCACTTGGCACACTCTCTGGTAAACTCATCTAATGGTACCAGGCATTTTAAAATACTTTTTTTTGGTACCGGGGATTGAACTCAGGGGCATTTAACCACTGAGCCACATCCCCAGTCCTTGCATTTTATTTAGAAACAGGGCATAAGCTGCTGAGGCTAGCTTTGAACACGRTCCTCCTGCCTCAGCCTCCCGAGCCACTGGGATTACAGTGCACACTATCACCCCTGGCTTAAAATACTTAAAAAAAATATTTTTAGTTATAGATGGATACAATACCTTTTTTTTTGTTTTCATGCGGTACTGGGGATTGATCTCAGGGCCTTGTGCATGCAAAGCAGACAAAMTACCAACTGAGCTATATMCCCAGCCCCTTAAAATATATATTTTTGAGGTCTTGATGTATTTATTTTACAGAATGCATTTTAACATATTGAATATAAATGGAGTACAACTCCTCATTCCTCTGGCTATACATGGCAGTCACTCCAATAGTGTAATGATACATGTATATAGGGTAATAGTGTCTCATTCTGCCGTCCTTCCAATCCCCACAACGCCCCCTGCCTCTTAAAATACTTTTAACAAGGATGATTTCTTCCTCTCTTGAGGGTCCTAGTGTGGCCTGGAATTTCTCACTCTGGGAGGGATACCTAATATACCAGAAATGCAGCAGCTTCTCTGAACACAATGAAAAAAAAAAAAAGTCATGGTCCTTGTTCCAAATCAAAACAATTCAGTGTCAGCTGTTTAGATTTTGGCTGTTACTTAGAAATCAGGGCTCTAACTATAGCAAATATATTCATACACCAGAAACCCAAGATTTAAATTTTAATAAATGACTATCTACTTCTCAGGACTTTATGGGGGTTAAATAAGCTAATGCAAGGCAACTGCTTAGAGGAGGGTCTGGTGTACCGACTGTTCCATTAGTAGAAGCTGCCAGACTGGCAAACTCCATCTTTCTGCACTTCAAACCAGCACCTGATGGTCACCTTTCTATGCAAGAGGGAGAGAACACGAAGAGTAGAGCCCAGGATGC